AGTCTGAGGCCCCATGTCCCATTTGCCCTGGCTTAAAGTGAACCCCCTTGCCTAGGAAGAGGAAAGTTGAGCCCCCGAGACAGGGCTGCGAACATTTGGTGTAGCGAGGGTGGCCAGAGAGATGGCAGTCCTGTGGACATAACACAGCACGGGCAAGCGGCTGGACTAACTCCATCTGGGGGAGCCCAGAAGCTTCCTGGAGGCAGTACCACTGCGGCAGGTGGTGCCCCCGGGGTGGGGGTTTGACAAGCCAAGCCGAGAGGAGGAAGATTCTCAGCCAAGGAAGGGGCGGACTGTGCAAGGGCAGCGAGGGTGCAAGACACTGCAGCTGACCCCACAGCCACCTCTGCTTGGGCAGGACACCCGGGCTGGCGGCCCCGCCCCGGCAGCACCAGCCAGAGAACAAGTCAGAAGGGCCGGCCCCTGGCAGCCTGGCACGCGAGCTCCGCTGGCACACACGGCCTGAGCAGAGGGGGGCGGGCAGGCTGGGCAGCTACGGGGGATGGGGCTGTCACTCCCACCCTGACATCTGGGCCACTCGGTGAGTCTGTAGGCCAGTCACAGCCCGGCTGCGGGGGGCGAAGGGCCGCCTCCCTGCCCGGCCCTGCCCGCCGTGTGCACTGTAGCCCTGTCCCCACCAGCGGTCCTGACGCAGCCCCTTCCCGGAGAGGCCCAGCCTCCCTCGGGCTGGATCCGCCCCTCCGCACGGGGCGGCAGTGCAGCGGCGCGGAGCCTCAGCTGCCCCCTGTACAAACATGGACAGTGCGTCCCTGGGCTGTGCACTGGGCTTCCCGGCCTCCGGGAAAGGCCACGGTCAGCCCAGGAGGGCAGAGCCCAGCTGGGGCAGCGCCAAAGCCAGCAGCAGCACCCTCTTGGGCCAAGGACAGGCCCCTCTCCGGGCTCCTGTTGCCGCCCGCGTCCCTGGCTGACCCCTGCCTCCCGCCCGCCCCCTCCCCCAGCTCCACTCACGCTGACACCTAACGTTCATGACCCCTCACCCGTGCGTGAACCCTTGCTGTGCACGGGGCTTCACCTACAAGCGGCTGTCGTCCCGTCACACCAGCACCGTCCAGCTGCGGCCGTGGGCGGGCCCTGTGCTGGCTCGGGGAGCTCGGCCTGCCCCGCAGAGACAGCCAGCCAGCCGCACTCAGCAGCCGCCACTGAAACGCAGGCACGGGGAGCGGGGCCTGGGGAGTTTACAGCAAGGCTTTCCTGAGGAGGCGGCCTTTGGTGGGGCCTTGGAGGGGCCCCGCGCCTGGGCTTCTGCCCCTCGTACCACCCAGGCTCTCCGCCAGCTCCCGGTGCCCAGCACACCCCGGGGTTTGGGACGGGCCCAGAGGAATAAATGTACATGGAATAAATGAATGAGTGAGTCAATGAAACGAGGTGGAGAATGTTTTATTATCTTTGTGTCAGACTCAGAATTCTTCTCGGAGAGAGAACTCAACGCTGGGAAGTTACTTGGATGAGATTCTTAGGGTGGTAATGAGTGTGTCAAAGAGCAGTTGGTGACTGAGTGGTGGGTAGTAGGCCTCCCGCAGGGAGCGAGTAGGCTCTCCCCAGCCGAGGCCGCCCCAGGGCAGGGAAGCTTCAGGCCCTCCGCTGACTTCTCTCAGGCCCACCTGTGTGATGGGATGGTGGGATTGTGACTGCAGGGTGCCTGGGGCTCTGTGGGGTGGCAGGGCTTAGTGGATAGCTGGGAGTTGCCAGTCTGCACTCCCCGCTCTCTGGAGCCCCGTGTAGTTTGTGGGGAGACACCATGGAGATACTGAGCACGCAGCTCCCTGTTCACTTATGCTCCTGGGCACCCTGGTGCCAGCCACCCTGGCACCCTCTTTAATTGTCACGTCTGTCCTCACACACAGGTGCAGCTCTATTGCCTGGATACACTCATTGAGACCCCATAAAATGGGGTGATAGGGAGCCGTGTCAGAGATGAGGGGAGAAGTCTTCCCAGAGGCCTCCTGACACACACGGGTTCGCAGGAGGGAAGGCGGAGCTCCGGGGACAGCTGGGCTGCATCTGCCAGGAAAGCCTGGCAAGGCCTGCGCCAGCTTCTCAGAGGGGAGAAAAAGGAGGGAGAGACAGAGGGGGAGATGGGAACTGAAAGGCGCAACAGAAGGGTCGGGAACAGAAAGACAGGGAGTCCAGGAGGGCGTGAAGGAGGAGGGCAGTGGGACAGGAGGGCAGGGAGGGGGAATCTTGAGAGGCAGCCTGAACAGAGCAGCTCTGGTCTGGACATGGGGGCCCCTGGGCCTGGGCAGCCCTGCCAAAGCCCACCAAAGGCGGCTAGGAGGTCTACCCACCGTCCCCTCCTCCCTGTTCCCAGCAGGAGCACACGCTCTCTTCCTGGGCAAGCACACATGTGCCCACTGACACCACCACACACACAGAGGCTCACACACACCCACACACTCAGCATCACCAGCCAACACACGCAACTGCACAAGTGCCCACTCCCATGTTTGGCTGCATGCACACGTGGTCAGCATAACCCAGGAGCTCTCAGGCTGCTGGGAGGCCAGGAGAGACCCAGGAACTCGGGGTCACACCTAGAACCTTGTTCCCCATGCTGCGTGTGCCCTGGCCCATAAATTCCCCCCAAAGGGCCTGGTGCTCCTGGAGCCGTGAGGGGCAGACTTTTCACTCCAGAAGCCCCACACCCCTGCTTCAGAGCTGATCCTGCCCACCCTGCATTCCTTCCACAGCTCCGACAGCAGCTGGGTGCTGCCCCTTGGGCATCCACTGTAAGTGGTTCTATATTGTGGGCCCACTTCCCCCTGCCCTCAGCCCAAGTTGGGGGCAGAAGGTTAGGACTGGGGTGACTCCAGGCAACCAGCGGGGGCTCAGGATATCCTGCCTTGAGAGGTGACCTCTGTGCAAAGGGATCTGTAACAGTCACAGCACCCATGGGAGCAGAACGAATCCATGATGCACAGGTACAGCAGTGGGTTCCCGCTGAGAATGGCCCTGTGCTGAGATGATCACAAAATAATACAAGGCTGTCAGTTTTATACACTCACAAACTTTTTTTCCCTGCAGTTACCTTTTTAATTGAAATTTTTTAGATATAATTCATAAAACATAAATTTGTCATTTTGAAGTATATAATTCAGTGGCTTTTAGTATATTTGTAATATATATAATATACATTGAACAAGCATCACCACTAATTCTAAAACATTTTCATCACCCTCAAAAGGACCCTTGTGCCCATTAGCAGTCACTCCAAATTCCTCCCTCCTCACAGCCTCTCCTCTGGCAACCACCAATCTATTTTCTGTTTCTATTGATTTGTCTATTTTGGACATTTTATATAAATGGAATCATTCAATATGTGGTCACTGGCATCTGGATTCTTTCAATTAGCATCATGTTTTTGAGGTTCATTCACATCATAGTATGTATCAGTACTTCATCCCTTTTTACAGCTGAATAATATCCCACCGTATGGAGAGGTCACATCCATTCACCATTCCTCCTCCATGACTCTGTAGAGGGTCAAATGTTTAAGACACACTGTTTACAAAGTACTTTTGCAAACAGTATGCAGTTAACAAGTACCCTCTCTTGTCATTTTCCTTATTAAGAAATGAAGTCTTTCTTATGTTTAAATATTTTTTCTTTGAAGAAACTGGTGAGTCTAGATGAAGGTTCTTAGTGAAATGTTCTTGTTGGGGAAGAACAGAGTTAGCAGCTCTAACCTGACACCAAAACTTTTCTACTCTCTTTGCCTGGGAATCACAGGGCTGATGAGCTGGCAGAACGTGTTCAGATTTGATGTTGTTGATAACGTGAGGCAGGTGCCTTCCCCTTTTCTTAAGGTTTCATTAGAGTTTATTGTCACAGTGTTTTCAGAAACCTGCATCCAGGTAGAAAGACCAGATTCCCAGCCTGCGGGAACGGACATTCCTTGTGACCTCTTCCCCACCCCGGGGGCAGCTCTGGGCAGGCAAGGGGATGGGAGTAGGACGGCACTTACAGCCACTGAGTCACCAGGTGTGGGCAGGTCGGGCCTGCTGGTTTCACCTGGGTGCCTTGCTCCCTGCTGTCAACTCAGAATAACAAGAACGGACAGTTGTCCACTGCATTCTGTTGTTCCCAGTAAGCTTAGGTTTCAGCCACCTAGAAATGGGCTTGGGGTGGGTTGGTGGGAAAGAGATAAGGAAAAGTGACTCCATTCAATGTGTTAAAATTACATGTACGTGGAGGTTATTGTAACAGTAATACAAAAAAGCAAATAAAAAATTTTAAAGTAGGAAAAGAAAGAAAATCACCTATAATCTCACCAAAACACACTCACTTGCATTTTGATGAACTTTTGATTTACCTAAATATTAAAAAAAATAAAATAAAACACTTTTTTCTGATTACATTAGTTGTACAGCTTCATTGTAGTAAAGATGTAAAGGAAAAGATAAAGGGGGAAAGCAAAATGACTCATTATACCACAGCCTAAAAGCAGTAATGTATTGGTGCATTTCCTTCCAGTCTTTTTTTTAAAGATATTGTATTTTTCATAATTGAATCATACACAATGCTGTAGCAATTTTCATACGCAGTATCAGTCTTTTGTACCTGAAATCATGACTGAATTTTTCCAAGCTGTTAAAAAAATATTTGAAAACATTTTAATGCTGTCTAAGAGTTTAAACAAGTAGAAATAATTTTGCATCAGATCTTTCCAGTTATTGTATCTTTCACATCCGTTAAGTTACTATGCAACTTGACACAGCTCTCTTTGCTAATTGAAGTGTGCAAATGCATTCATCCAGTGGATAATTATAACTCACTTAGCCATTCCTCTCCTGATGGGCAGGTCTTTACTATTACAAATGATGCTTCAAAATACATTTTTGTAGGTCAAATACTTCCTCTGGATAGGTTCCTATATATGTGTGTACTGGGTAAAAGTATAAATAATGTTATGGTTCTATTTAAGTGTAATTTTGCAGAATTCATTTTCATACTTTTGCAGGTGTGAACTGACCAGAAATCTACATTATCTGACATAAAATGGGCAAATCAAGTACAATTTTATTAGACATATACATGTAAATAAATAAGTAAAACAATGGCAGCAGACAAACCGGGGGGGCTTCATTTCTGCCAGACACAGTCTTAGAATCACAGGATCCCCACCAAGCCTTCTGGGAGCAGGAAAGCCCCATACAGGCAACGGAAGGAAACGGCAGCCAAGTGGACAAGAAGCCGAAGATCTGTGCCTGCAGGTGGGCAGGTGCACAGCCGCCAGGCCGCAGAGTCAGTATCCACAGCGGGCAAGTCCTCGGGAGCTGGGTCATCGGTGTGTCGGGGGGACCTCAGGAAAACTGGACTGCTGCCGACAAATCGAATATCTATTTTCATTTTGCACCCTTTCCCTGCATTTAAATAATCTTTTTCGAATGACGGGTTTTCATACATTTTCTTCCAGGTGTTTTTCTGTCTGTTATGAAAATGTGTTACTTGGTAATTAGGGACTAAATGTCATTTTTAAAATATTTTTTATGTTGGTAAAAAATCTGTTTATGTTATGGGACATAAAATTTACCACTTTAACCGTTTTTAAGTGTACACTTTGTGGTGTTAAGTACATTCATGATGTTGTGTGACCTTCACTGTTATCTATTTCCAGAACTTTTTCTCATCAGCCCAAACAGACTCTGTACCCATTGAACAATGATTCCCCAACCCCCCCCGCTTCTGACTGTGGCCTCTGTTCTACTTTCTCTCTCTATGAATTTGCCTAATCTAGGGACCTCATATGGGTGGAATCATGTAACATTGTCTTGCTTGTCTGGCTATTTCATTTAGCATAATGTTTTCAAGGTGCATCTATGTTGCAGCATGTGTTCGTTATTATGGCTCATTATTATGTGTTCATTATTCTGGTTCAGAAGTTCAGTATTAAGGCTGAGTAATATTACTTTGTATGGATATACCCTATTTTGTTTATCTATTCATCTGTCAATGCATGCTTGGGCTACTTCCATCTTTTGTCTGTTGTGGATAATGCTGAACATTGGTGTATAAGTATCTATTTGAGACCTGCCTTCAGTTCTTTTGGGTCTATACCTAGGAGTGGAGTCACTGGATCACCTTGTAACCTATGTTTAACTTTTCTGAGGAACTGCCAAACTGTTTTCCTCAGCAGCTGTATGACTAACTGCCATTTTTTTAAAAGCCGTCTTTAATATTGTTAAGCTGTTGAAACTACCCAGAGAGATCTACAGATTCAATGCAATTTCCATAAAAATCCCAATGACATTTTTTTTTTAGAAATAGAAAAATCCATCCTAAAATTAGTATAGGGCCTCAAGGGACCTTGAATAGAACAGTGTTGTAGGTCCTATATTTCCTTATTTGAAACTTACTACTAAACTACAGTTATCAAAACAGTGTGGTACTGACATAAAGACAAAATTCAGACCAATGGAACAGAACAGAAAGCCCAGAAATAAAACCTTACAAATACGGTCAAATGATTCTCAACAAGGGTGCCAAGACCATTCAATGGAGAAAGGACAGCCTTTTAAACAAATGGACTAGGAAAACTGGATGGCCACATGAGAAAGAATGAAGTTGGACCCTTATCTGACACTGGATACAAAAATTAGCTCCAAAAATTTATCCAAATACAAAAGCTAGAACCATAAAATGTATAGAAGAAAACATTGGGGGAAAGCTTGATGGCATTGGATTTGGTCATAATTTCTCAGATATGACACCAAAAGTACAGGCAAAAAGAAAAAAATAGATAAATTGCATTTCATCAACATTTAAAATGTTTGTGCATCAAAGGATGCTATCAACAGAGTGAAAAGGCAGCCCGTGGAATGGGAGAAAATATTTGTAAATCGTACATCTAGGAAGAGATTAATATTTAGAATATACAGAGAACTACAACTCAGTGGTAACAAAAACAAACAATTTTATACTAAAATGGGCAAGAGGCTCGAATTGGTGTTGGTTGGACTGACCTTTGGGTCCTACCCGGTTCCGAGCACCCTAGCTTTCCTCAGTGACTCACACCTCTCCACAGAGGAGGCAGCTGGTGGGGAAGGATGCCAAGACTTCTCCGACAGGCTGAGAGTAGCTTGCTTCTCAGGCGATGGGCTGGAGGCTTTGAAGGAGAAATAAGAGCCCCCAGGGTGCCTTCCCATATGGCCTGGACCAGCTCAGGCTCCAGGCTCTCCTGGGGGGCTCCCACCATCTGCCCACCCTCAACTGTGTAAATGGCTGGGTCACCCTGTCTGGCACTGCCAACCCTAGAACATGAGCAGGCCTCCTCAGAGCAGGTGGTTGTCTTGGCTGTCCCCAGCGCAGTGGATCAACTTCCTGGGGTGCCATCTTCCACGAGGAGCCACTAGACCAGATGGGGACTCTTGATCCCCAAAGTCAGGGCAAAGGAGAAGCAGCTCTTTGGAGGTGGGAGAGACATGGGGTCCTTTGTGAAGTCCCTCCGGTCCCCAGCAAGTCAGGTTTAGGAAGAGGGGGTACTTATTTCTCAGGTTTGATGTCAGGAAATTAATAGGTGGTTGTGGAGAGATGGCTTAGGAGGGTGAGTTCTAGGAGTGGCCCAGTGGAAGGACAGCAGCCAGAGGTGTGACAATGACAGACATAGTAACCCTGTAGGCGACTGGCTGGCAGGGCTGCGCCTGGCACCCTTGTGGAGTTCCTGATGCCCTCCTCCCAGCCCTGCAGAGAGGCCCCATGACTACCCGCAGCAAAGCGGCCCTCCCACCCTGCCTCACTTTCTCTGCACTCCTGCCACGCCTTGTGCCCACCCTGCATTGACCTCCTCTCCATGTCCTTCACTAGAACAACAGGTCCTCTGGGCAGCCCCCTGCTCTGGTCTTGGCTCTGTCCTCGGTGCCAGCAGTAGGAACTGGCACATAGTAAGTGCCCAGGAAACACCTATCTGAGAAATGAATGCTTTCTATGGACAGAAGTTTGCTTTAAACAGTTTGTCAAAGCGCCCATGTAACTTCCCCAACAGCACACAGCCAGAGAGAGGCAGGGCCGCGATTCGAACCAGGCGTCCCTCCAGGGGCGGGGGCTTCTCGCGCCAGGACACCCAGAGCCTGCTGCTCAGAGTAGGAGGTGTTTGTAGAGCCTCTCTCCCCTCGCGTGAGCTCCCGGGAGCGGGTTCTGCAGTGCCCTTGTCACTGCCCTGAGGGTGACAGCTCCCTCCTCTCTCTTGCTGGGGACTTACTCCTCCTTTAAGTCCTGGCTTGAGGGGCACCTTGTTCAGGAGGCTCTTGCTGACCTGTCTGCCCAAGCCGAGGATCCCCTTCCACCTCTAGACAACCCTACATCTTGTGGTCGCTCCTATGAGTGAGTCCATCATGCAGAGCCCTAAGGACAACGGAACGGCTTTGGGGGCACACCTGTCCGGGTTTGAATCTGGACTGGCTAGTGGCAGGCTGTGAGACAGATCCTGGGCCTGCCGCTTCACCCCTCAGAAGGAAAAGTGGCTCTTTCGCCTGGACAAAGGAGACACGAGCACCTACCCTGCCATGGCCGCCACAATACAGCACCACAGACCCGGAGGCTTAAACAGCAGACATTTACTGGCTCACAGGCTGGAGGACAGAAGCCCAGGATTGAGGTGTCGGCAGACTGCTCCCCTCTGGGGCCTCTCTCCCTGCTGTGCAGGGGGCGGTCTTCCCCCTGAGGTCTCACATGGTTGTCCCTGTGCGTGTGTCTGTGTCCTCTTCTCCTCTCACAAGGACACCAGTGTGACTGGATCAGGTCCCATCTATATGACTTCATTTTAACTTGATGACTTGTTTAAAGACCCCATCTCCAAATACAGCCACATTCTGTGAGGGGACTGGTTAGGGCTTCCACATACAGATTTTGGGGAAATGACTTAAGCCCACAGTGCTGCCCCTCATCTGACATTTGAATTCTTGTTATAATGCCTCTGGCAAAGGCCGCCCAGCCTTGGCTCGCACCTCTGTGACAGGGCACTCTCTACTCCCCATGGCTTTCACTGCGGACCAGGACTTCCAGTAGGTGGCTGCTGTCCTTCAGAGCAGCCCCACAGGACAGGCTGAATCCCTTTGTCCCTCAAGAAGTGGAGGAGGCTACTTTGCAATACTGAGCAATTCAAAACAGGTTGGTTACTCCCTAAACAGAAAGAGAGCTTGCTTGTTTTGGAAGACTAATTCAAAGGCAGATTTCTGCTGGTGGAGTTATCTGTGTTTTGTTATCTGCCTTGAGCAGAAATGGCTTTGGAACACCCCACAGCGTGGACGCCTTATTTGCCCAGATAAATGTCATGTTTGCACCCAACGAAGGTTATAAAATAGCCACCTTAGGCAGTGGGGAAGGGTATGGCGGCCTTAGGGGTGACCACTATGAAACTGAAAATTATTTTCTCCCCCTCCCAAATGAGCTGGATTGTTCTTGTGTGATCTTAGCCAGATGACAAAGAGATGTCACCAGGGACATTTAGATAAAGTCTTGCAAGACTCAGTTTGGCTTTCAAAATCCCTTCTCAGAGCTCTGCAAATTAGCCAATTTTTTTTAACCCTAATTTTTACCCTATCATTCGATTTTTTTCACATTATAAACATAGCATGCATTTATTGTAGGTAGTACTGAAAATATAGTGCAAGGTAAAGAAGAAAATAAAAATTACCTTTAATTCATCACCCAGAAATCAATGAGTGTTAATGTTTTTTTATATTAAGGTATTATTGATATACACTCTTATGAAGGTTTCACATGAAAAAAAAATTGTGGTTACTACATCTACCCATATTATCAAGTCCCCATCCATACCCCACTGCAGTCACTGTCCATCAGTGTACTAAGATGCCAAAAAATTCACTATTTGCCTTTCTCTGTGCTACACTGTCTTCCCTGGGAACCCTTCACATCATGTGTACTAAGTATAATACCCCTCAATCCCCTTCTCCCTCCCACCCGCCCTCCCCCACCCCTCCCCTTTGGTAACCGCTAGTCCCTTCCTGGAGTCTGTGTCTGCTGCTGTTGTGTTCCTTCAGTTTTACTTAGTTGTTATACTCCAAAAATGAGGCAAATCATTTGGCACTTGTCTTTCTCCACCTGGCTTATTTCACTGAGCACAGTGTCCTCCAGCTCCATCCATGTTGTTGCAAATGGTAGGATTTGTTTCTTTCTCATGGCTGAATAGTATTCCATTGTGTATATGTACCACCTCTTCTTTATCCATTCATCTACTGATGGACACTGAGGTTGCTTCCATTTCTTGGCTATTTTAAATAGTGCTGCGATAAACATAGGGGTGCATCTGTCTTTTTGAATCTGAGGACTTGTATTCTTTGGGTAAATTCCAAGGAGTGGGATTCCTGAGTCAAATGGTATTTCTATTTTTAGTGTTTTGAGGAACCTCCATTTCTTGCATTTCTCTCTCTCATCAAAGGGATTATACTTTTAAAATAAGGTTGCATTGTTATCTCCTTGTACCCGCTAGATCCGGCAGACAGAGCAGTGAGTGAGACAGCCAAGGGGCCGCCCTCAGAGAGTTCAGTCTAAATAAACATATAAATGAACTCTCAGATTGTTTTCCAATTTTCCTGTTACAAACAATGCCCCAGTGACCATCCTTATAGGCAAGTGACTGAATACAAAGGAGTTGACTGCATAAGTTTCTCAAAGTGGAATTTATGAGACAGGGTTTTCCCTTCATAAAGAAACACCAACGGCCACCCTTACGCATGCGTGTATTAGTAGAATGTTAATATCATCTGAAAATTACCTCCTCTACCTGAATTGGACAATTTTCAATTACAGATCTCAAAACTGTCTGGATGAGAAGGGATTTTGCAGGCATTCCTGTCTGGGCTGACCCTTCTCCCACTCCCTGTCCAGCTTACATCCCCCCACGAACAGCATGCTCTCTCCCTCTTCAGGCAGTTCTGCCATCCTTGAATGGTTCTGCCCTGGGAAACGCACCTCTATATCAAAATGAAATCGGCCCACCTGGCTTCCAACCCTGACCCTGGTCATGAGCTGGAGCAGAGCAAATCCAGGCCTCATCCTCACCCTGGCCCTGCTGGGCTCCGGGTCCCCTCGGAGCACAGTCCTTTGCACAGACTGCTTGCGCAGTTCCCACCCACTGCTGAATGGTGACTCCTTTGTTGGGACTCCACCAGGATGGCCTCGCCTCCCGCAGAGGTTTTCTCTGACCACCCCTTCCAGAAGAATGGATGGCCTGGTTCCTCCACAGCCCTGCCCTTGCTCCACTCCATGGAAGTACCTGCCTCCTTCCCTTGGCACCTGCAGCTCCATGTCTGCCTCTGGTGGGCGCTGATCCAAACCTGTTGAGTGAACAGAGGACAGGATTCTAGGTGCCTGCATCTTGGACAACCTGGGCCCACTGTCTTGAGCTGCAAAGTGGATAAAAAGTCAGCATCCCAGGGTTGCTGGTGCTCTGGAAATGTTCACCGTACACACACTGTTGTCAGGCAGCTGTTGTCCCTGCACACTAGGTGAGATCTCAATCCAGAAGAAAGAATTCTCCACCAGGTTGGATGAGTATAGGTAAGGAAGGAATTCCTTAGAGCAAGAGTCGTAGAGAATGGCAGCAGCCGTGCAGGCAGCAGCGAGCAAGGAAGAGCAGAGGGGGGAAAGGGCAGCTCACTGAACTCCTGCTCGGCACAGGGCAGGTCCCTTGCCAACTCCTGAAGCCAGGGTCACCTGGCGCCCAGTGTCCGCTTGGATCTACATGGCATGGGAACTAAGCCCCAACCACCCCAGGATGTGGGGGGGCCATAGAGCACTGGATGGAGGGAGATTACGTTCTGAGAACTTCCACCTCCCTACTGGTCTGGATAAAACAGGGAGAGAGAAAAGGATTGTTAAGACTAGAAAGCTGACTGAAATAGCAAAGTGACAGAGACTTTTATCACCAGAGGTGGAGGTCGGGGAGTTCTTGTCTTTATCACGAAAAAGAGTTCAGAGACAAGTGCCACTGGCTTATGCAACAAGGAAGTTTATTTGATATAAGACAGTCCACACTCAGATGGGAGTACGGGCAACCTCAGACAGGAGGTGCTCTTAAGGGCTTAGGATTTAGGGTTTTATAGAGCCTTTTGGGTACCGGTCAGCTTAAGCCATGATGTATACAGGCAATTCATCATTCCTTTGAAGTTTTGTCTCAAGAATAGGGTTATTTAGATGACTGTGTTGATCCCCATCTCAGTGTTCTTTACCCAGGTAGGTTTGTTTACAGTCGTTAGGTCTATCTCTTCTCCTAGTTACAAAGGTACTTGATTGATTAAGGGGCCGGAAGAAGAGGAAGAACAAGCATATAGATTAAGTTAAAGAATAAACTGGGCCTTTTTTGCAGGCTAAGTAGATTTTACAGTGGCGTGACCCATCCCATTCCCCTGCTCTGTCTCAATGCTATGAGCCTCTGCTGTGCTGAGAACTGGGGACATAAGGGCAAATAATACAGGACAGGTGCTGGCCCCAGGGCACTTCCTAGTAGAAATAGGGAAATGATCAGTGACCTCCCTGTGGTCTAGGGAGGAACCCTGTGGGTGCTGGGCAGGGAACGCCAGTGAACAGCTAAGTGCACCACCAGGGTAGCCCCCCTGAGAAGGGGCTGCTCCAACTGAAGCCCAAAGGAGGAGGGTCCTCATGGAGGGGAGGGGGACAGAAGAATTCCAGGCCCAGAGAATGGCACGCATAAAGGTCTTGAGATGGGAGAAAGCCAAGATAAGCCCCACATAGATCAGAGCTCATGTGAAGGGCCTTGGCTTATTCATTCCATCACCATTCATGCAACAGTGGTGTGTGCCAGGCCCAGTACTGCTTGTAGATTCTGGGTATGCTGTCCAGGAAACTGGCCTCAGCACTGCCCTGGAAGGGCTTAGAGGTGATGGGGAAGAGCGGATAATTGAAGAGGTATATATATATATATTAGGTAAGGACTCCTGCCTGTGTCCCCTCATCTCATTAATTCCATAATTGATCCATGAATCGTGGCTTCACTGATTCAAAGGTTCATTTCTCTATAGGGTAGTTGGTTTGTCCATTCATTTGTCTGACAATCTGGATGGCTGCCTTCTGTGAGCCAGGCACCGTGCTGGCGGACGGGCACAAACAAGGCAGGCAGTCCCTTGAGCCCTGAAGCTTACTGCCTAGGGTGACAAGACAAAGGCTAAACACATGGGGACAGTCAAACAGGGCCACGAGACACAGCAGATCCCAGCCCACAGAGAAGCTGCTCAAGCTCAGGCTTGAAGGGAAGGGAGGAGGAAGCCCCCAAAGATCAGAGGTCCAGCCCCAGAGTGGGCCCGGCAGGCTTGGGCTCGGAGGGAAGCCTGCCCTCAAGGGAGCTGAGCCGCTGCCCCACCTGTTCTGTCCATAGCAAACCACCTCCTAATTCGAAGGTGCTGCCAAGGAAGAGGTGCCCCATCTCCGGCCACACACGGTGCAAGCGTCTTCCTGAAAACCAGCAAAGGCAGCCCCCAGCTGGCACGGCCTCTTCCCGAGGAGGCCCGAGGGGCGGGCACTGTGGCAGGGGGAGAACAGGGCCGCATTGTGAGTGTTGCACAGGATGCTGTGGTCAACAGAAGGGCGGGCAGGCTGGGAGTCAGAGAAGCTCATTGAGTCGGAGGTCTGCAGGCCGCGTGCACTGCCAGGAAGAAACAGGTCTTTATGAAGGGAGGCCCAGCACAGCCTGAAACGGAGGCCATGCCAGTCCATCCATCTGCAGCCTCTGTGAGGCCGGGCCGGGGAGCTGGGCTCAGGGACTCACACACAACACACACACACTGCTACCTTCCCGCCCCCATCCTCCAGGACAGAGAAAAAGTTTCCATTCCCAAAAGAAAAGTGGTGTCCAGTGACTAAACACCACGTGAGGCGGCGCTCTTCAACAACTACCCTCAGCTGCTTCCAAAAATCCCACGAAGTAGGTGTCCTTCGTAACCCTTCTCTGCAGATGAGAAAGCTGAGAGTCAGAGAGTATTAGTAACTGGACCAGGTGCACAGCTGATAAATAATGGAACAGGGATGGAGCCCAGGTCTGCCGCAGCCCCAGGCCTGTGTATTTTATCATCATGGGGGCGGTGTGTGTGTGCACGCACACAGGGTGGGCTGTCTTTGGGAACTGGCCAGGCTTACTCACAGCAACTGTTGAGCAAACTGGTCCCAAAGGACCGCTGCCAGTGCAGGGGTGCCCTCCAGGTTGGGGCATTTCTTTCACAGGCCTCAGGGAGCTGGGTCAGCTCCAGGAAGGCTGGTGGGCTGGAGCAGGAGCAGAGCTGCAGAGGGAGGGAGGAGGCTCAGGGGCGGGGTGACCCCGCCTCCCGGCCCGTGGCAGAGCCCTGCCTGTGGAAGGGGGCCCAGTGTCTATGGGGCTGTGACCTCCTCACTGTTCTCCTGCGCCCGACAGGGACCCTCGCCTTCTCCCTGCCTGGGACTCAGGCAAACCTGCCCCACCTTTCCTCCTGTGCAGGCCTTCCTGGGAGCAGAGTCCGAGGCATTCTAATGAAGTTCTCTGGGCCTGTGCTCAAGGGGTTCCTCTGGGGAATCCTTCCCCAGACTGCTCCGTGTGGCAGGTTCCTCTCCCTCCTCCAAGGCTCTCCAGGGGCCCAGCCCCTGGCACACTGCTGTGCAGCCCCGGGGCTCGTCACCGTGGGGATACATGGCTGTCTGCAATCCCTCTCAAGGACAGGGTGGCTGGGTCTGTTATTCTAGCTATGGAGCAAATCACTTGAAACAACCGTTTGCTAAGCTCACCGGTTCTGCAGGTGGGGATTTGGGCTCTCTCTGCCCCACGTAGTCTGGGGCCTCGGGAGGCTGGTTCACGTGGGGAAGTTGATGCCGGCTTTCCCCTGGGGGCCTTGGTTCCTCTTCAAGAGGCCTCTCCCTGTAGTTGTTCCACCTAAGCTAGATGGGGCCTCATCCTGGCATGCAGCCAGCTTCCCGCAGTGAGCATGCCCAAGGTTGGAGGAGGAGAGATCCACTGCTTGGTGGGAGACTAGTCCAGGTCACTGTGTAAGGGGCCTGAGGGACTGTGATCATTTAGGAAGACACTGCCGGCTGCACACAGCATCCCCGGACCCTAGCACAGGCTGGTCCTCAGCAGGTGCTCAGATTTTTGTTGCTTTGTTGAACTCCTGTAGGCCCATCACAGACTCCAGGTGAGGAAACTGAGACCCAGAGAGTTTCAGTAACTTGCACAGAGCCCTCAGCTCTGGGTGTGCAAGCCAGCTGCTACACACTGCTCCCTAGTAACCAGAGACAGGATGTCCAGGAGCGCCAGACCTGAGCACTTGCTCTGACCTCTGGGGGGCACAGGGAGCTGGCCCTGCTCCTCCTGGGACCCATGGGCAGACTCTTGAACCTCAGCAGGCTCCGGCTCAGAGTGGGATCAGTGGACATTGTGCCGACACACTCTGCCATCTTGGTGACCCACATCAGTGATGCCCTTAACTGGGTGACTGTGACCACTGTGTGTAATTCCAATTTGAGTAATTAGGGGAAGCCGTCCAATGACCTCATGGTCCCCAGGATGAAGGCCAGAGTCTTTGAAGTGGCTTGGGAGGTCCACTTGCACCCATCCTCCCACTAGCCTAGGGTCAAGGCCCCAGAGTTTCCAGGTCCCTGAAGTCAACCGACAGCAGAACCGCCTGTGCTCTGCAGACCAACAGCCCAGCTGCATGTTCCTCACTCCCTTCCCATGCTGTGGCCTGCTTTTTCCTCTTTCAAAATACATAAAATCCAGTATGCCTACTTGAATTCTCCAAGGTCAATCACACAATGATGACTGCACTGGGCTACGTTCTCTGCCTCTGTGTGCTTGCACACTCTGTTCCCTTTGCCCGGAGTGCCCTTCCCCTTCCATCTCTCTGGCAAACTTCAACTCACCCCATTATGTTCAGTTCAGCCACCACCTCCATATCCCTGGTTGCTCACTCAACCCTGGACCTTAGGTACAATGCAAGGTTTCTTTTCATGACAGCCTAGAAGTCTTGCTCGTTGTGTCTCCCCTGCTGTTCCTGAGGTCAGGGGCTGTCTCGCTTCCATCTGTGTCCTCCAGGCCCAGGCCAATGCCCAGCACATGTCACATATTCAAAACAGCACTTGCTGAGCGAATGAGTAAAGAGTGCGTGTGTAAACGAGGCTGTCCGTGGCTGTGGTTCGGAGCATGGGCTCTGGAGCCCCCTGCCTGCGTCTAACTTCCGTTTCCACCATTGATGGGTTGTGTGATCTTGGGTAATTTTCTTGGCTTCTCCGGGCCTCAGGCAATGTGAAGTCTGCGGGTGTTTAAAAGCTATGTGTGCCTGGCAGCTCCTATCCATGCGTTTGCATTAAGCAGTATTTTGTTGTTCTCAACGGATTCTGAGACTGGGAGAAGTATGACACAGTGTGGGATGCAATGGGTGCCCCGAGATGAAGAGCAGGCACTGGGGCGGGAGCGTGGTGGGGCCGTGGGCGTGGTCTCCTGCCCTGGCTGGGGTTTTCTCGTCTGTACACCGCAGGGGTTTGCTGTGATTTGAACCCACAGTCTGGCCCCTGAACCAGGCACTCTCAGCCACCTCCTCCTGTTTGTGTTCCCTGCCTTCTCAAGAGATTCGGCCACCCCCTCCGTCTGGCTGACGGCCCCTACTGCCCCACATTCTTCTCTGCCTGAAAAGCGTGATTTTTTTGTCTTCTCTCCTTACATGAGGGGCATGCTCCACTGTCACTGCTCCAGACTTTTCCAGCAAAAGTCAGGACAACCAGTCAGGAAGTGGAATCCCCACATACAGACCCTTATCACTCCACCCAAGGCTTTCTTTCCTGTCTTCACTCAGAAACCTGGCGGAGAGGGACTGGTGACTGGCCTCTCGCCACCTCAGGGCTCCTGCATATGTTGTCCCCTCGTGCCTTAGCTGCCTCCCTCTCCGGGCTGGGGTCTCAGCATGGATGACACCTCCTGCCAGAGGTCTTCTCCCTCCTGCAGCATCCTGGGAGCAGGACAGGGAACATCCTGCCTGGGAGTGGGAGGGTGCAGGGTCAGTGGGTGTGAGCTGGACTGGCTTTCCGGGACACGCAGGGCACCTCTGCTCATGGCCAGATTAGGAGTGAGTGACATCTTCCCTGTGCATCTGCTCCCCATCTCAAAAGTGGGGAATCATCTGTCAATCTTCACCTAGTGGGTTCAAATGAAAAAATGTAGGCAGGGGACCCAGCACAAAGCCAAGTGCATGCTGGCTGTGGAATGTGGCGACTGAGGCTGGGAAGGGACCCACTGCCCAGGGGGCCTGGGAGTTGGGCTGTGGAGCCCAGGGTCCTGCTGCCTGGCACACAGCACCCAGCCTGCACAGAGCCAGGAAACTGGGAGCTGAGGAAAGGAGTCAAGGCCTCTCTCCTGGGAGCAGGAAAGATAACACGAAGAATGAAAGGAACAAGCTTCTGACACTACAACAACCTGGAGGATCTCAAGGGCATTATGCTGCTCAGTGAACTAAGCCACTCTTAAACGATTACATGCAGTATGATTCCATTTATATAACACTCTTGGAATTAAAAAGAAACAACAAATGTGGGGAGCAGATCAGTGGTTGCCAGGGGTCAGAGGGAGGAGGGGGCATGGCCACCAAGGGGATAGCATAAGGGAGTTCGGGGGAATGACAGAACAGTTCTGTACCTGGGGTGGTGGTGGACACACATATTGTGTGCACTAAAATGCATAGAACTATGTACAGAGAGAAGAAGTGAGGGCATGGAAACAGGAGAAGCCTGAATAAGGCCTGTGGTTCAGCTAGTAGCATTGTGCCAATGTCAATTCTGGGGCTTGATCCCTGCATGGTGGTTATGTAAGATGCTGCCATTGCGGGGAGCTGGGTGAAGGGCAAATGGGAACTCTCTGAACTATTTTTGCAACCTCTATGCAAGTTGATAACTACTTCAAAATAAAAAAATTAGGAAAAAAAAGAACAGAGAGACTACTTCACCTAACAACAGCAGAACACACATTCTTCACAAGCTCACATGGGACATTCATAAAGACAGATCACATCCAAAATAGACCATAAAACTCATCTTTAAGCTGAAAAAAGATAAATCATACAATGTTTACCATCAGACTGCAGTGGAATTAAGCTAGAAGTCAGTACCAGAAAGCTGGAAAATGCCCAAATTCTTGGAGATTTAACAATGCTCTTCTAAATCACAGGAGTTAAAGAAATTTCAGGAGAATTTAAAAATTGTTTGAATGAAATGAAACTGAAAATACAGTTTATCTAAACTGTAGCCAAAGCAGTGCTTAGAAGGAAATGTATAGCATTGGATGCATATATTAGAAAAGAAGAAAGATCTAAAATCAGTAATCTAAGCTTCCACTTTAGGAAATGAAAGAAAGAAGAACAAATTCAATCCAAAGTAGTCAAAAGGAAAAACAGCCCTGAGAAGGGCTGCTCAAAGTCTCAGGGGTCGTGGGCCGTTTATTAATGGGCTGCCAGGTGGGGTGGCCCCCATGTGGCTGCCTGTTTGGCTTCTTAGCTGTGAACCAATAGCTGTGTGAGCCTGAGTAGTGCCAGAGCTCCTATTTTGGTTCCTTTGGAGTCTCCCAAGCTTTTGGTGTCTCTGGAGTCAGTTTGCATTGGCCTCTACTTCCCACAGACAAAGAGGGTCGGGAAGGTTCTGCACCTCTCAGAGCCTCGATGGGCTCACCCATGTGCCTTGGAAGCTAGTGTCCAGCTTCCTGAAGGTTAGCTGTTGCCAGTGGCAGCAATGTGAAGCGCTCTCTGTTCTGTGCTCTGAGCTTCATTGCTTGTGTGCTGGTGTGGACACAGGGTTTGTCCCAGTGGGCAAGAGCTTCCACTTGGGCTCTCCCACCCGTCACCAGGAAGGCTGGGCTTCTTGAGGCCCCACCAGCCAGCTGCAGAGACCACTGTCCCCAGGTCCACTGGGTGGAAGCCAACAGAGGGAAGGAAGCCACCCCAGGGGGACTGGCTGTAATTCAGCAACTCCACCCAGCCAAGAAACAGGACCCAGAGTGCCTAGCACCCAGACGAATCACCTCCCCTGGGGAGGGAAGGGTGGACAGGAGGGCCAACAGTGACTCAACAAGATGGGAATGCAGCACTTGCTACAGCTGTTGTTACCGCAGTTGGCATCTTCTCCATCACCGCCATCTACCAAAAACCGCAACCTCCTATCACCTCACCCCCATGAGGAGGGCCATCATCAAAAATCCCCCAGAATAAGAAGTGTTGGCGAGGATGTGGCGATATGGGACTCTGGTGCACTGTTCCTGGGTATTTAAAGGGTGCAGTGGCTGCAGAAACAAGACGGTTGTCCCTCAAAAAAGTGACAGTAGAACCACCACAGGATCAAGTAATTCCACTTCTGGTGTCATGGAGCTGAACAACCCTACGTCCATTGCCAGATGCACAGCAAAGCCAAACACTGACACTGGTGTGCACTGAAAGAAAGTGGGCATTTATTGCACGGTGTCAAGCAAGAATGGGTGGCTAATGCCCAAGGTCCAGAACTCCTTGCTGGCTCACAAGCAGGGGGTTTAAAGCCAAAATTACAAGAAAGAGCACAGGGGATGTAGTGAGTTCATGCCCACTTCTCTGATGGGTCAGTGGGGAGGCGACAGGGGAGAATTTCAGAAACCGAAGTCATCACTCTTCTGACTTCACCCAGTCTGGGGTCTACGAGCTTGCGGTCAGCAGGTGGCCCATATGGTGGGAGTCTAAGTTCCTGCAAAACATGTCAAGGACACAGGAGTCAAGAGTTTTTCTATGACCGTGTGGGAACTCTGAGTCCTGCAACTGTTCAGTCTGCTCACCCTGGTTTGCAAACTCCCATTTTCTCTAATCTCTAACTGCCTGGTCTAATTCCCATATTCTGGGCCACAATTAAGGGACT